AAAATACCTTTTATAATGAATTGTTATAATGACAAAGAATGGAAAGCCCAAAACAAATAAGAAGAAATGCTTGGAAGTTTACCCAGTTAACTTCCAAGCATGGATAGGGCACTCTTCTAACAGTGGTTGGTCAGATCCTTCCAAAAAATGTGAAGTCAAGAAACAAAGTCAATACTCCTTCCTTGCCATTTGCCCCCTAGCAACTGGTATATCACCTTTGTAGTGAGAGTTTCCATTTTTTTATCGTAGCTAATAGACTTGATAGATCTAACCACCTCTGCCACTTAAATTGCCTAAACTCCCTTTAAAGCTGTCACCACAAATTATAGAACCAAATCCTATACGATTTGTTGTATGAAGAAGTGTATTCTTTCTAAAGTTAATCAATGTCATTGGGGTTGTTCAAGGTGATCTTGAAATGGAGAATAAAATCAGGGAAGTCTCAAACAGAGGAAGCACTGTAATAATCAGTGACTTCAACCACCCTCACATTGACTGGATAAGTGTATGCTCCAGTTCTGACAGAGAGGTTAAATTTCCTGATGCCCTAAATGACTGTGCTTTAGAACAGTTGGTCATGGAACCAATCATAATAGAGGGAATCCTGGATTTAATCCCATCTGGGATTGACCAGGTCACAGTATTGGATGTAAATGCTGTTCAACCAAATGGAAAGAGTGTCCACAGCACTACCAGAAGATTGCCAAAGAGGACCAACACAGTTGTGTTTGCCTTCAAAAGAGGAAACTCCTCTAAAATGATGGAACTGCTACGAATGAAATTGAAGAGGAGTCAAGAGGCTTAAATGTCTTCAAAATGGGGGGTGGGGTAGTGGGGCACGCCGGCGGGGGCCTGCTTAACCCGCCGGAAGTGGCCTGGGGCAGGAGCCGGATCTGAGCCCCTTCCCCTCCCTCCCTGAACACCTGCTGCACTGCGCTGCCGCCACGCACGCCAGGCCTGAGGCGTGCCGCCGAGCCCGGAGGTCAGCTGATGCCGCTCCCGCAGCCACCGCTGGACCACCCCGGGGACGGAGGACACCAGGGCCATGCCAGGGCCACCGTCCGACCATCGACGACGTTGCGGAGGAGGGCGCCACCATCTCGCCGCCTGGCGGGTTTCCGTGCCTCTCTCTGCTCCCCCCCCCGCCAGCGTCGGTGAGAGCAATGCCGGATTGGGGGCTCGGGCGCGTGGGCGGGCGCTGGCTTAACCCGCCGGAAGCGGCCGGGGCCGGCAGCCTCGGGCTGGCGGCCGAAGTGCAACAGCCAAATGGCGGTCGCCGCCATTTGTGGCTGTTCGTGGCCGTGTGGGGCTGGGTTGGCGAGGGACTCAGTTGGTGGGTGGAAGTTTATATGGGGGGGGTAGATGGGGAGTTTTACACTGTTTTAATGTTTTATTGTATTTTAATGTGTTTTTATGGAGTCGTCCCTGGCCACATGGACAGTTGAGTTACCTGGAGAGCGCGTGGGCGCTGCCATTGGGGTGGTCACGGGCAATGGTCGTTACAGTGGTGGCGGTCTAACATGTCCGCACAGAAGGAGGGAGAGATGGTTGACACCTATCCCACCTTCTGGTTTTACCCCCAGCCAGAGGGCTCCAGGTAGTCTTGTCAATCGCCTGATGGTGCTGCTGTTTAATGCCAGGTCGATACACGATAAATCTTCCTTCATCCATGACTTGATCGTGGATGAGGGGGCCAACCTGGCTTGCATAACAGAGACCTGGGCAGGAGAGGGGGGCGGATGTTGCCCTCTCTCAAATGTGCCTGCCCGGGTATCTGGTTCAGCACTGTCCGGGCCTGCAGGGAAGGGGAGGGGGGGTTGCTTTGGTTCACCGAGCCTCCATCTCCCTCGCGGGGTTTCCAGTCCCTTCGAGGCCGGGGCTAGAGTTCCTCTACTTGGTGTTGGGCGACCGAGACAGATTGGGGATTCCGTTGGTGTACCATGCACCCTTCTGCCCAACAGTCTCCCTGCCTGAGCTGACGGAGATCGTCTCAGATCTGGTGTTGAGAACCCCCAGGATGTTCGTCCTGGGGAACTTCAATCTCCACGCCGAGACTGGTCTGACCGGGGCGGCTCAGGACTTCATGGCCTCCATGACGGCCATGGGGCTGTCTCAACATGTCACAGGCCCGACCCATGAACATGGACACACTCTGGACCTGGTTTTCTCGACGGGGCAGGAAGAGGGTGGTCTGAGGGTAAGGAATTTATCTCTGACACCCGTCATGGTCAGATCACTTCCTCGTGAGGTTTGTGCTAGAGAGCAGCCTCTCCCTCTGTAAGGGTGCGGACCCGATTGTGTGGGTCCGCCCCCGAAGCCGGATGGATCCGGATGGATTCCTGAAGGCCCTGGGGGAGTTTCCGGCTGACAGGACTGGTGCTCCTGTCGAGGCTCTGGTCGAACTACGGAATGGGGAAATGACCGGGGCTGTTGACATGATCACTCCTAAGCATCCTCTCCCGCCGGGCAGAGTCCACTCTTCCCCTTGGTATACACCTGAACTGCAGGCGATGAAGCAGGCTGGGAGACGTCTAGAGCGTAGGTGGAGATCATGGGATGAATCTGACCGAACAGTTAAGAGCCCATTATCCGGCGTATGCTGTGGCGGTGAGGGCAGCGAAAAAGAAATTCTTCTCCGTTTCCAATGCCTCCTCAAAATGCCGTCCGGCGGAGCTTTTTCGGGTGGTACAAGGGCTGGTTCCGCCTGGCCCTAAGAAAGATCTGGTTCCACCCTCGAAGGCCCGCTGTGACGACTTTGCCAAGCATTTCAGGGAGAAAATTGCTCAGATTCGTCACGAGCTGGACTCCACCAGTGATTCAGAGGCTTCTGGGGAGATACCAATGTTGCCGTCTGGTCCAAAATTAATGGATGAATTTCAGTTATTGAGGCCTGATGATGTGGACAAGGTGCTTGGACGAGTACGTCCCACCACTTGCCTATTGGACCCTTGCCCATCTTGCCTAATTAACAATGCCAAGCATGGGATTAGGACCTGGATCTTGGAAGTGGTTAACACTTCTCTGAGGGAGGGCCGAGTACCTGCCCCTTTAAAGGAGGCGGTAGTCCGACCGGTCCTGAAGAAGGTGTCACTGGATCCAGAGATGGCCACTAATTATAGACCAGTGGCCAACATCCCGTTTCTGAGCAAGGTGTTGGAGCGAGTGGTGGCGGGACAACTCCAAGCACTCTTGGATGAAACTGATTATCTGGACCCATTTCAATCCGGCTTCAGACCCGGGTACGGTACTGCATCTGCCTTGGTCGCCCTGTATGATGACCTGTGTGGGAAGAAAGACAGAGGGAGTGTGTCCCTGTTGGTTCTCCAGGACCTCTCAGCGGCTTTCGATACCATCAACCATGCTATCCTTCTGGATAGGCTAGCGGAACTGGGAGTCAGAGGCACTGCTTTGCAGTGGTTCCGCTTCTATCTCAATGGCTGATTCCAGAAGGTGGCGCTAGGGGACTATGGCTCTGCGTCATGGCAGCCATGCCATGGAGTACCGCAGGGATCCATTTTGTCCCCTTTGCTGTTTAACGTCTACATGAAACCGCTGGGAGAGGTCATCAGGAGGTGTGGGCTGCGGAATCATCAGTACGCTGATGATACCCAGCTCTACCTCTCATTCTCTACCAATCCCGGTGAGGCAGTGGCTGTACTGAACCAGTGCCTGTCCAAGGTAATGGGCTGGATGAGGGCCAATAACTGAAGCTCAATCCAGACAAGACGAAGGTCCTGTTGGTTGGTGGACTGGGCTTCGGGGAAGGTGAACTGAACCTAGTCCTGAATGGGGTTGCACTCCCTCTTAGGGACAAGGCGCAGCTTGGGAGTGCTCCTCAACCCAGAGCTTTCACTGGAAGCTCAGGTGACAGCGGTGGCAGGAGCGCTTTCTTTCAGCTTCAGGTGATCCACCAGCTGCGCCCCTACTTGGAGAATGACTGCCTGGCGACAGTGACACACGCGTTGGTGACTTCCCGACTTGACTTCTGTAACGTGCTCTACATGGGGCTGCCCTTGAAGATGGTCTGGATACTTCAATTGGTTCAAAATAGAGCTGCCAGGCTGCTGACGGGGACTGGGCGTTATTTTCACATGACTCCAGTTCTCCGTCAGCTTCACTGGCTCCCTATTGAAGTCCGGGCCCAATTCAAGGTGTTGGTTTTGACCTATAAAGCCCTTAACGGCTTGGGTCCTGGTTACCTGAAGGAGCGCTTACGTCCATATATGCCCACCCGCCCCTTGAGATCAGCGGGAGAGGCCCTTCTCCGGGAACCCTCCGTGAAGGATATTAGGAGGGTAAGTACTTGGAGGAGGGCTTTCTCTGCGGTGGCGCCCAATTTATGGAATGCGCTCCCCAGAGAGGTTGGCCTGGCGCCGTCATTATTTGTTTTTCAGTGCCAGGCGAAGACTTTTTATTCAAACGTTATTTTAACTGTTAATACTATTTATTTAATTTATTCTTTGGCCAGGGCGACTTAAACACAACATAAAACAGTATAATTTATTTATTTATGATTGTGAGCCGCCCCGAGGCTTTGGTGAATGGGGCAGCATAGAGGTTCTCTAAATAAATAAATAAATAAATAAATAAATAAATAAATAAATAGCTAGCTAGCTAGCTAGCTAGCTAGCTAGGAGATTGCTCAAAACCACGATAATAGAGGCCCAGATACAACGCATACCACAAGTTAGGAAAGTTAGCATGAAGCCCATAAAGTCATCAGCACAATTAACAAGTGGAGTCAAAGAAGCTTTTGAAGAGAAGACAACTTCCTTCAAGAAATAAAAATTGTGCTCATGCTGGGAAACCAAAAGGGAACACAGGCTTGCACAAAGGAAATGCAAGCAGACTGTTAAAAAAAGCAAAGAACATTTTGAGGAGCATTTTACTAGGCAAATAACAAAGAATTTTTAAAATATATTTGAAGACGGAAACCAGCTAAAGAAGCAGTTGGACCACTGAAGGATAGTGGAATTAAAAGAGCACTAAAGGAAGATAAGGAGATTGCAGGAAAGCTAAATGCATTCATTTCCTCCGTATTCACAGCTGAGGATATAGAAGAGATAAATATTCCTGAACAGAGGCTTTCAGGAAGGAAGTCTGAGGAATTAAGACAAACAGCAGTGACAAAAGATGAAATTTTAGCTTTCAATTTGTCAGTAAGGTAAAGATTTCCCCTTGATGTTACATCCTGGCATGCCTGACTCTAGGGGGCGGTGCTCATCTCCATTTCCTAGCCGAGGGAGCCAGAGTTTGCCCACAGACAGTCTCCGTGGTCATGTGGCCGGCATGACTAAACACCAAAGTATGGAACACTGTTACCTGCCCACCGAAGTGGTACCTTTTTATCTAGTTGCATTTGCATGCTTTCGAACTGCAAGGTTGGCAGGAGCTGGGACAAAGCAATGGGAACTCACCTTGTTGTGCATATTCAAACTGGTGACCTTTCGATCAACCAGCCCAGCAGCACAGCGGTTTAAACCACTGCGCCACCTGCAGTCTCAGTCTCAGTTTGTCAGTAAGATTTAACAAATCACCAAGCCCAGACAGTATCTAACCCACAGTTATTAAAGATCTCAAATACGAAAAGCTGGAGCTTCTGTGAACATTGTTCAGTTGGACTTCCAAAAGACTTTTGACAATGTCCCTCTTTTGAGCAAGCTTAGTAGATATATAACCGGGGGTGAAAGGGAAGGGCTCCTCTTATGGATCATTAGCTATTTAAAGAACAGAAAGCAGAAAGTAGAAATAAATGGCACTTTACCCAATGGAGGGATGTAAATTGTAAAGTCCCACTGAGTTCTGTATTAGGATTAGGGAGGAGTGAGGAATCAATTTGGGGGTAGGAATCTGTTGGATTTCCTGGGCCTGACTCCCTGGACTCCGCTCCACTTTATAATGGTTCTGAGTCCAAGTTCCTGGTGAGTGCTCCCAGTGTGTGCAGGGTGCTTGCCTATCAGGAACCAAGCCCCATGTGCTGCACAAGCAGCACCCCTCTTGCATACCCAGTACCACTACCAGCAGTGGCAGGTGGGGAAAAGGCTGGTTGCTCAGAATGGCATCTGGCACACCTGCTCAGTGTCTGCAGTGGCACAACTGCTTCCACACATGGCACTGGCGGCAGCAGCAGGCAAGGAAAAAGGTTTGTTTCCAAGAATGGCACCTGATGTGCTCACTTGCAGTTCCCCTCTTCCATGACGAGTGCTGCTCATAACTTCAGACAAGAAAAAAGTTTGGTTGTTGGGCATGGGGCTTGGCATGCCTGCTTGAAGCACCCTTCTTCTGTGTCCAGTGCTGCTGCCACCAGAAGCACTGGGTTGGGAAGAACATTTGTCATCAGGAATGGTGCTTGGTGTGACTGCTCACATTGCCTCTTTTCCATGTCCTACAGCCATTCTTTGGGCAGCAGTATCTGATGCAGAAGTTTACCAGTTGCACAACTGGGGCTGCATGAGCATTCACAGACTTCCTCTGGCTCACAAAGTACAATTTTATGTTTCTACCCTACTCCCAAGTTGCATTTGTTCAATCGCTGATCTTGCATGATCCTGGTAGCTCATCTTGACTCTCACAAACAATGCAATTATTATGAAACAATGCAATTACAAGTGATTCAGTCCTTGGTTGGAAAAAATACTTATATCTTACATGTCATACAGCAATCTGCCAGCTGATGCAGTTCGCTCTGCATTCCGCTCAATAGAGTACATTTCATACTGAAAAACAAGAGAGAATATAAACCACATACAAAATACAGAGGTATCTTTTCACTAGATTTCTGAGTATCACACCTTTCCTTTTCTACCACACCATGAGAAAGGGGAGAATGACAGACAGAAGCACTACAAATAATTGTTAAAAAATAATTACAATTACTGCAGACTAGAGTATTAATCTGTTTATTCTGAAAAATTAAGATCACAAAGAATCCAACACAATGCTTGAATTACTGGGATGTAGGCAAAAGAAAAGTAACCTGGCATGAATTGGATAAAATTGGAGAGATTGTGGATGGGCTTAGGGGTTTCATTAAGTGCCCCCCATAAAATGACTTAAATACCTTGGTCCATTTTCTCTTCTCTGTGGGTCCCCCGTTTTTGCTGTTAGAGCAGTGGCCCTTCCTCCTCCCCTTAGCTACACAGTTAGTGGGCACTGTTATGCTTACTTTATGAGAAAATTTTATTAAGGCCTTTTCCTTATTCTCTTTCACTACTAAATCCACTAGCTTTCTCTGTTGACTCAGTGAAGTTACTCCCTGGGAAATGATTCTCTTATACACCTTCTAAACTTAAGCTCTTCCCCAAAATGAGCATTTTATCCCATGCATGTAACATTCAGCTTTTATCTTCTTATAGTTTCAGATTTTGGAATTTATGAAAACATTAGACCAATTTTAGCTTAAACTGAAAGAGACTTTTAAAATTAAAAATTTCAAAAATAATTCTGACAACTCTAATGAACCTAAGTTAATATGAAACTAATACCTTACAGAAATACAGCATGGGAATTTGATCACAAATTGTCTTCCACTTCAACCATAAAATGCATTTAATTCAAGATGTCTAACAATAAGATTGTAAGCATAGCCAACAAACATCTGTTCTACCAGCCACTTCCCATTGATGCATTTATCTTATCTACAAAGACAAGAGGAAAAAAATAAAAATTTCACTCCATGGTTGGAAACGCACCATGTAGCTTGCAAGTGTTCACAGGAACACAGAAACAGAGCAAGTCAGAAGGGGCCTCCTTGGCCATCCAGTCTGACCCCTGGCTCTAGCCAGCTCTGCTCACAGCATGCCTACCATGTGCAGAAACATTTTTCAATGTTCAACAGGTCTTGCACTTGGGACACAGGAATAGGTGTCACAGGTACAGGATAAGGACCAAGTAGTTGGAGAGCAGCACTTGTGAAAGGGAACTTGGGGTACTTGTTGACAGCACACTGAACATGAGCCAGCAGTGTGATGCAGCGTTTAAGAAGGCAAATGCCACCCTTGGATGTACAGTCAGAAGCGTGGCTTCCAGATCTAGGAAACTGTTGATACCACTCTACATGACTCTGGTGCATGCACAACTGGAGTACTATGTTAAGGTCCAGGAGCCACGTTACAGGAGAGACATAGCTAGGTTAGAATTGGTTCAGCACAGGGTCACAAAAATGGTAGCCAGGTTGGGAGGGATGACATATGAGCAGAAATTGAGGGAGCTGGATCTTTTCAGCCTGGAGAAGAGGAGACTCCAAGGGATCTTTTAGCAACTTACAGGTACACAAACAGAGCAAGTCAGAAGGGGCCTCCCAGGCCATCAAGTCTGACCCCCTGTTCCATCCAGCTCCACTGATGTAATTCCCAACATATGGCTGTCCAATCTTTCCTTGAACACTATCACTGATGAGGCTTCAACCACCTCCCATGGAAGCCCATTCAATACCCTAGGAGTCCTAACTGTTGAGAAGTCCTTCCTGGCATCCAAACTGAACCTTGGTTCCTTGAGCTTTGCTCCATTGGAACTAGGATATGGAAAGGGCTTCCAAGGGAGGTGACTGAGGCCCCATCACTGATAGTGTTCAAGGAAAGATTGGACAACCACATGTTGGGAATTACATCAGCAGAGCTGGCTGGAACAGGGGGTCAGACTAGATGGCCTGGGAGGCCCCTTCTGACACACTTAGTTTCTATGTTTCTATATTTAACATTCCAATACATTATGAATATAGTTTATTTATTTTTTTATTTATTTAGAATTTTTGTATCCCGTCCCATCGCAAGAGCCTCAGGACAGCTTACATACAATACAATAAATAAACAATAAATACAAATAGTGCAAATTAAAATCCAGATTCACCCTGGCTGTAAATTAAAAACCTATAGGTGATATTAAAAATTGTTAAAATATCGTTTAAATAAAAAGGTCTTAGCCTGACACTGAAAAACAAATAAAGACGGCACCAGGCAGACCTCTCTGGGGAGCGCATTCCATAGGTGGGGCACCACCACAGAGAAGGCCCTCCTCCGGGTACTTAGCCTCCTAATGTCTTTCACGGAGGGTTCCTGGAGGAGGGCCTCTGCTGCCGATCTCAGGGGGCGGGAGGGCAAATATGGAAGAAGGTATTCCTTTAGGTATCCAGATCCCAAGCCATTGCTAGTTTCCTGCTAGCAACCCTCAGAATTCAACATCACACATTACATTCATAAAAAAAGTTTCCATCACATTTTCTTACCCAATGGAAAGTGGCTGAAATAGTCTCCTCACACCACTGCTGTATACTCATTGATTGAAACTATATACATACTTTGAGCTTTCAACAAGTTTAATGTTGATTCCAAACCTTATCTTACAAGTACCTTTGAAATTATTCCCTCATAGTCATTTCCTCAATTAGTTTTATTATTGGTTTCTAGAATGCTTTTGTTAACACCATTTCCAAAGGAATGCATAGTTTGTATAGCACCTCTAACAACTTCCTCTTTTAGACAGTCCACAAGTGCAAGCCATGTAAGGGGAGAATAAGATTGTAAATTCAATTGGTCAGGTGTGTGGGATTTGCTAACTCTTTACCTAACATGTTACTTTATATAATCATAGAATGGTGGAGTTAGAAGGAACTAGAGGGCCACAGGGGCCCTGCTCAGAGCAGGACACAGAGTTAAACCATCCCTCTCAGATGGCTGTCCAGTTGCATCTTGAATGCCTCTAGTGCAGGGGAGCCCACAGCCATCCAGGGCAATTGGTTGCACTATTGTACTTCTCTTCAACTCAGGAAATGTTTTCCTGATATCTAGATAGAATCTGGTTTCTGTAAACTTGAGTGCATTATTCTGTGTTCTGCATTCTAGCATGATTGAGAAGAGATGCTGGATTCCCTCTTTGTGACAGCCTTTCAAGTTCTTGTAGAGTGCTATTTATCTCCTCTCAGTCTTCTCTTCTTGTGACTAATCATGCCCGGTTCTTTCAATCTTTCTTCATAGGGCTTTGTTTCCAGTCCCTGGATCATCCTTGCTGCCCCCCTGAATCCTTTCCAGTTTGTCTGTGTCGTTCTTAAACTGTGGTGCCCAGAATTAGACACAGTATGCCAAATGGGGCCTGACCGGTACTGAGTAAAAGGGAACTAGTACATTAAACACAAAATGTATTTAATAAAAGATATCTAACAGTAAGATTGCAA